TTCTCTCTCTCTCTCTCTCTCTCTCTCTCTCTCTCTCTCATTCTCTCTCTCTTTTTCTTTCTCTCTCTCTTCTGTTTTTCTTGATCTCCCTCTTTATCACGATCCTTTTGCTTGTCCGTAGCTGTTATCACGTGCCTCCACCTCCCCCTTCCCCCCTCCCCCGTCATCCCCACCAGCAGCACAGCCCCCTCCCATCCCCTGTGCCTACCCCCCCCCCCGGCCGTCAGCCCGCATTTAAGGTTAATTACCATTAGCATCCTGCCCGCTCTTTCTCCCCTGCCCCTTCCCTTCCTCTGCGGCCGCGAATTTCGTTTTGAAGGAACGCTGGCTAGTCTTTTTTTTGTTATTTTAGTTTGAATTGTTTTGAGTGCTTTATTTTTTTAGGTCCTTTTTCGTCTTGAATGATGTTGAGGTTTTAAGGAGAGGAAAATATTGTTTTGATGGCATTTTTGCGCATCCCGGCTGTCCGTTTGCCGGGCCGCCGAGCCCGACCGTGGCGGCGGCCGGAGAGTGTTATTGAATTTCAGCCGAGATGCCCGCTCGGGCGCAGCCGGAAGCAGGCGGCCCCGCTGGTGGATGTGCAATACGTACATACGCGCACTGTACATGCTTAGGGACTCACGCACACACATACTCACATACATACACACACACGTACATACACACGTACATACACATGTACGTACATTCGCACGCACATACATATATACATACATGTATACATACATAGATACATATATACACATACATACATACATACATACATGCATATATATATATATATATATATATATATATATATAGAGAGAGAGAGAGAGAGAGAGAGAGAGAGAGAGAGAGAGAGAGAGAGAGAGAGAGAGAGAGAGAGACGAGAACAGTGGGCGGCGATGCAGAGGTGGAAGGAGAGAGGTTGGTATTTGAATAACCTCCGCCATGTTGTAGAAAATTAACGACACGACATGGTTTTGAAATAACGCGCATGTATGTGTGTGTGCATGTGGGCGGCTGTGCGTGCGTGCGTGCTTGCGAGGTACACGAGTGTTTGGTGACAGTTGCGTTGGTTCGTCGGTTTATTTGCCTGCCTGCTTGCTTTCCCGCCCGCCTGCGTTCTCGCTGAAGGTGGTTTGTGCTCTATGACGATAACAGCGTAAAGGTGAAAGGCCATTGTGTCGCCGCTTCATTTAGTGGGGGTTTATTCTGGCGAGCCTCCCCCTCCCCCTCCCTCCCCCTCTCTCTTTTCCCCTCCCCTTCTCTCTTTTCCCCACCCACTCTCTTTCCCCCTCCCTCTCTATCTTATGCTCCCCTTCCCCTCCAACTCTCTCCCCTTCCCACCTCCTCCCGCCCTCTCCGCTTCTCCTCTCCAAATCTATCCCCACCTCTCTTCCGTCCCCCCCCCCTCTCTCTCTCTCTCTCTCTCTCTCTCTCTCTCTCTCTCTCTCTCTCCTCTCTCTCTCTCATCCCTCTCTCTCTCTTCTCTCTCTCACTACTCTCCTCTCTCATCTCTCTCTCTCTCTCTCTCTCTCTCTCTCTCTCTCTCTCTCTCTCTCTCTCTCTCTCTCTCTCTCTCTCTCTCTCTCTCTCTCTCTCTCTCTCTTTCCATGGTTATTTCTCTCCTCTGCACCCTTTCTTTTTTCTATTTTTCGCTTCAGCGTTTTCTTTATTCTTGTGTTTTTTATATATCCGCTCTGTATTAATTTTTTTTCTTTCTGTTTTTTCCCACTCTCATCCTCCCCTTTGCAAATGCATTAGTTCTAAAAGGCTGACTGGAGGGGGGGGCAGGGGCTGAGAGGCAGGGAGGGAGGGAAGAAGGGAGGGAGGGAGGGACATCTTCCGCTCATTTCCACCGCGAAGTGAGGGTAATGTGGAGGAGTGGGTGGGGGAGGGGGGGGGCGCACACACTAATCTCTCGTCTCGGAGGAAATGTCGGGGCAGATAGCGCGGGGAGGGGAAAGGACAAGCTTAAAGGGCCGACCTGTTCCCCTTTCCCGCTCTCTGTCCCCTTCCGCCTCTCTCGCGCGCTTTATGTCTCACTCTTCTTATCTCTCTCTCTTATTGCCTTTCGTTCTCTTTTGCTGTCGATTTTTTTTCTCGTTTCTTTTTTTTTCTCTCTCTCTTTCTTTATTTTTCTTATAGTGCAGATATATTGTTTGATTCTCTGTCGTTTTGTTGTTTTCCGTTTCATTGTTTTTTCTTCGTTTGTGTGTTTGCATCAGTCACTCTCCAAAAGCGTATTGGATTTCATTTTGGCAGTAATGAACGGGGAGACCCATGTTCACTTTTATTCTTCTCGTCAAGGGCTCTAGGGATTCTGAGCTCTATTCATGCTCTCTAGGTACCTTTGACCCTCACTTTTACTCTTTTACTTTTACTCCTACTTCCTAGGTGATTCAGGGTGATTTAGGATCTTTCTCACGCCACCTAAGTGATTCCAAACCCTTGCTCACGCCACCCGAGCGATCGAAGTGACTCTAAAGCTTTAACACCTCTCTTTCCCCCGCAGGAGCGCAATGCCGAGTCCGCCATCGAGGCCCTGAAGGAGTACGAGCCCGAGATGGGCAAGGTCGTGCGCGCGAACAAGGCCGGCGTGCAGAAAATCCGCGCCAAGGGCATCGTCCCCGGCGACATCGTCGAGATCTCGGGTGAGTGACGTCGGGCGCTGGGGGGGAGGACGCGGGGGGGGGGGGGGGGGGACACATGGGACACCTGCTGATACAATGGGAATTTAGGGCATATTTGCCGATGGGTAGAACAGGGAGACGCGTGAATTTAGGGCGAAGGGAAAAATACAGAAATATGAAAATCTAAAGCTTATTCTGGAAGGGAAGAACAAGAAAATGCATGGATTTGGGGCATATTTGCTGAAGGGACGAACAGGATAACATGCATTTTCGTGAAGGGAAGAACTCACAAATACACAAAAGGAGAGGGTATTATCCAAGGGAAGGTAGAAGAACATACACATTAAAAGCATACTCTCAAAGAGAGGAAAAGGAAAACTTGCAAATTTGTGAAAGGTAGAACAAGATATCAAATGGATTTAAGGCATATTTATGAAGGGAGGAAATACACAAATATAAGGGATATTAACCCCATGCCGACAGGGAAAATGAATAAAAAATGGGGAAAATGAATAAAAAATGGGGATAATGCTGTGCTCATTTTTTAAATTTTTTTGTGAAAAGTCTCTTCACATAGATGGCTCTGCCTTACCTGATTTCACCTTTCCTTGAATTGGCAGGAAAATGTATTTTTTACTAGTGCTATTAATATCGATGATGTTATTTTTATTATAAACATTATAATTACTATAATGTTATAAACATTAGTAACAGCAAAATAAGATAACGTGAAATATTTTTGTAGATCAAAGAAAAGGGTGAACGGGCGAGACAGGCAGTACTCATAATTGGCTCATTGGTGGTTTAGTACAAGTGTAGCCATCTATGTGTAAAATAAAATAAGTGGGGATGGCATGGCATGCCCATCAGCAATGGGTTAATAAAAGTTAGTACAGGAAAACTCACAAATACAAGACATACTCATGAATGGAAGAACGGAGAACACATGAACGTAGGATGTACTCATGTAGGGAAGCAAAGAACGAAAAAACATGTTTTCAATTTATTCATCAGACTTGCAAGCCAGAATTCTCAAGAAGGGGTAGCACTGCTGAGGAACTTTGTCACTGTAGCTATTCTATTTGTATTTTCATTAGATATTGAGGTTATTACATGGAATGTAGTGCTCTCCTGTTTCAAAATGAATGGCCCATGCACTACTGGTATGGATATGAGGGCAATTTGATCTTACTTCCAAGCTTTGTTTTAGTGGAAATGTGTTAGGTGTTGCTGAAATGAGGGATGAAGGGTTTCTCATGCCACGGTGCATTGCTCATGTCAACTCAGCAATATTCACTGCTCCTCAGTTTTCCCAGGTTTAGATTTGGGAGTGTTGATTGCAATTGACACTTCTTTTTTCCTTACATTTTACTCTTTACTGAAAATCTTTTTAAAGTGTGAACATAGCAGCAATTGACCCACTCCTCTTGCCTTACAGTTGGAGACAAGATCCCCGCCGACTTGCGCCTGTGCAAGATCTACTCAACGACCCTGCGTATTGACCAGTCCATTCTCACTGGAGAGTCAGTGTCTGTCATCAAGCACACTGACCCCATCCCTGACCCCAAGGCCGTCAACCAGGTCAGACTCGTGGGCGAGCACCACGCTCCCATTCTCTCTCCCTCTCTCGTGTTTTTGGGAAGAACTTGAAATCTGATCAGAGGTTTTGAGGAAATGACGAGAGCATATTCCACTCACAAGCCCTGATTCAGTTGATTGTTGTTGTGTAAATCCTTTGAGCTTCTCTCTTTACCAAGGTCATTTGAGCTTGGCATTCCCAGACTAACAATGAAGATGTATCCCTTATCAGTGTATTTCTCTTTATGTGTTCTGGTGTCAGGTGTATTCAGGTGTATTTTCTTACAAACTCATTTCTTTTTTTGATAGTGAGCAGACTCTGACGTGTTTAGATATGTATTCTGTAACTAAAATAGGACACTCCAAAATGAAATCAAACTAAACATTTGTAATAACCTACAAATAGTAGAAATATTTGTAAGTATTTGTAAGAACTAGCTGACATGCTAAAAGATGATATGCAATCTCTTAAATTCTGGATATTCCGTTCACTTTACAAGCACGCAGACAAGGATGGGGCTAGCATTGCCCGTGCCATTATACAGGTAAAGTGTGAGTCACACTTGGTGATCCCTGAGTCCTATACTTTCAGATATCACACATGTATGTTAGTATGCCTGCTGTCTGGTCACTACCACTTGTCTAATCACTGCTACCTGCCTCTGCGTAACGCATTGGCATGTACGTCTCTTTTAGGATGTGCTTGAACAAGAAGAAAATTTGCCTTGCTAAGTCTGAGCCACAGCTAGTCATAGCATGAATACATGTAGCTTTAGAAGGCACTTTAGAATTGAATGAGGTGAT